GAAGCATTTCCTAAATTTTAATTCTTATGCCTTTTGGATATTTTTTTGTTTTGGATATTTTTTTGTTTCTCACCAGGTAGCCCTGGCTGGCCTGGAACTCACAGTGATCCAACTGCCTCTGTTTCCAGATGCTGCCTTCCTGCTCCCCACAGCAGGTCACCGCTTGGGGAATTTGTGGTATTGTATGTGTATATATGGACTTACAAAGGTAATACATGCACATTGTAAAATATATCAATCCTGCAGACATATCTGATGCAGACAGCAAGGTTGCTCAGGGATTAGGAACACCCGTCTGTCACCTCCAAGCTAAGGAAGGCCACTGGCTCCCTTCCGTTCTATGGACAGAACATTACCCATGCTGTATTTTTATAGATGATTTAATGTAAAGTAGCATGAGTCTTGTTCTGGAGCTCAACTTTTTTTCTGTGCATAATTAAGTGTATTTAAAATGATTTAAAATAAATTATGAGTCATACCTCAGCCTTTCTTTACCAGTGAAATGAAATGCAATGTGTCAAACTTGAGTTAAATCCATAATCTCCCTGGATGCGCTTTTGACTTGCTTGTAAGGGAGGCAGGCAGGCAAAGTGGAAGCAGCTCTGTGTGCCATATTGACATTCAACACTGAGAAGGTCAGAGTATGCAGTTGATGTCAATATGTTCATCCCAAACTGCAATAAAGCTGTCCCAGCAACTGCAATCCCAGCTGCCTGCCATTTCCCTGTCCTTTGGGCTAGAAATGTGCCACTAGGAACCTCCACTCCCTGCTACTGATCCGCCAGGTTTCCCTGTGAAGGGCTGTTTTAAGTATCAATAGAATCCTAGATTTTAGGTTGTGAAGACAAAAATCCCCACACCAGTTAAGGGGTTTATTTGACAAAAAAAGTAATAAAAGATGACAGCTGGGTTTTCTTCCACATGAAAATTGCCAAATAATTGCACAGCATGTCACCATAAGTATCATAAAGTGAGTTTAGCGCTCAGCTTGGCTTTCCAAAGCTTTGCCAGATTTTTTTTTTTTTTTCAGTTTTAAAAACCAGACTTTGGGAAAATGTATTCCCTCTACCTCTGTTCATGTTTATGTATTTATTGCCAAGGATGGTAGACATAAGTGACAGTTCGAAAACTATGTCACTGTGATACCACAGCTGGCCTACCCATTCCCCATCAGGGACACAGCCTCGGAATGGCCACAGCCCAGCTGTACACGTCCTTCCCAGGATGGAGGCCATTCAGCCCACACATTGACAACAAAATAACCAATAAAGCAAGGAATGGTGGGGCTTCTTTGGGTCTCTTCCCTGAACATTACTTCTTCATGGTAAATATCCCTAAGACAAATGCTTATCAAAACAACCTTGGATTTCTGCTTCTAACAGTACACACCAAAGCAGGTAATATATGAACCCTGTGGAAACAAAGAAAACTAGAAGAATTTCATAAGAGGAGTCACAATCACCTCAACTGTCAAGGGGCCTAAGTGTTTTAGCTCCACCTTACCTACCATGTGTCAACCAAAAAAGAAAAACGAGCCAAATTCTAGAAAAATTAGAGAATTAAAAGTTAAGAATCATTTCATAGCCAGTTCCTATCTGTTATGTTGAGCATAACTCAATTTAAAAATTACATTGGCTTCCCATCCATGGCCTAAATGCTTTCATAGAGCGGCCTGCCAGAGGCCATTAACTCACAGCCCTCACAAAAGGAGAAGCAGCATTTCTTTCTGATTCACCAGCCATCCTTCCAACTGGCATCTGCACTCACTCACTTCACTCAGCATTTGGCAAGCTCTTTTCCCCTTCTGAGTCCTGGTCACTTCCCCTCAGAATGAGATGTAGGGAACAACCTGAAGGTACCCTGATTTAAAAAAAAAAAGATGAACATGTCTGATGTTGGGTGGGATGCACAGATACGAATGAGGAAAATGTGCCTTAGTACTGTCAGGGTGTGCTGCATTTTATTTGGGAAATGAGACAAAAATCTTTCCACGATCAGCCACTCCATGTGACATCCCAGCCCACACTCTGCTACTGACATTTTATCTCCCACTGAACAGCCCGGCTGTTGTAACATTTTCAGGATTCTTAATTTATGTCTTGCAGGATCTAAAATCAGAAGGCAGGGGCTTTAAGAAAATAACCAGTGTTGACAGGCACCTTTATACTTCAAGAAGCTGCTACACCTTCGTGCTGCTAGAAGTTGGGGAACATTCTCTTCTACTTCTTCCAAAATATGTCCAGAAGATAGGAGGAGATGAGAGCTGTCCCAAACCATTGACTTTTCTTTTTCCATATAAACCTAGGAAAAAAACCTTTCCTAACATCTAGTATTTGCTAGCAAGCTTATTATTTTTTCTATAGGATAAATTCCAGCATTTGATTAATTTAAAATGAATTAGAGCTGCGGTTCTCAACCTGTGAGTCGAGACCCCTGGGGGGTGTCTCATATTAGATATTTACATTTTGATTCATAACAGTAGCAAAATTAGTTATGGAGTGGCAATGAAAATAACTTTATGGCTGGGGTTCACAACAACGTGAGGAACTGTATTAAAGAGTCAGCCGCATTAGGAAGGTTGAGAACCACTGAATTAGAATAACCAAGATATAGTGTTAATTAAGCTTCTCATCTGCAGCCAAGTACTGTGGAAAAGGGAAAGGAACAAAAGGCCAGGTCATGAACTTAGTATAAGCTTTATAATTTCCTGAATGGTTGAGTCTCTGACCATGAAGAAAGAAGAGAGGATAATGATGGCAATTCCTTCACTAAATGATGAGGTTCCAAAAGGGGTCACAATAAGGTTCAAAATCATTCAGCTGTGGAGAAACTGAAACCAAAATTGCAAGTTTTTTTGTTTGTTTTTTTTACATTATACCACGGCTTTGTAAATGCAGTGCGCTGGCTAGTCTTACGTCAAGTTGACACACAAACTAGAGTTATCTGAAAGGAGGGAACTTCAATTGAGAAAATGTCTCCATAAGATATTAACTAGTGACTGAAGGGGGAGGGTCCAGCCCACTGTGGGTGGGGCCATCCCTGGGATGGTGGTCCTGGGTTCTATAAGAAAGCAGGCTGAGCATGTGAATCAGACCAATAGCAGCACCTGTCCATGGCCCCTGCATCAGCTGCTGCCTCCTGTTTGAATTCCTGTCTTGACTTTGGTGATGGACAGCAATATGGACATGTAAGCCAGATAAGTGTAAGCCAAACAAACCCTTTCCTTCCCAGCTTGCTTTTTGGTTATGGTGTTTTGTTGCAACAACAGAAAAACCTAGACAGGAGGTAACTTTGGATTAGCTTATCATTAGAAGCTGCGGGAACCTTTGCTGTCAAGGTTATTAGAGGTGCTGAATACAAAGACAGGATGCCAATGCATGTCCTGGCCCTAGAGCACTCAGCCTTGATTCTTTTCTTCTTAGGATGGGTTTAACCCTATTTATCTGCACTGCAGTCCTTAAAAGACAGGATCTTGAGCCTGATGATTAAATCTGCTACTAACTGCTGGCCTTAGCAAGCTGCTTCATTTTTCTGGTCCTCATTATCCTGTGCTATAAAATAGAGATGGTCATAGCATCTATTCAGGGTTGTTGTGAGGATTCAGTAACATTTATAGAAAATAGTATTTTAAGCTTAGCATTATCTATCCATTAGACAACTTACATTTAAAATGTAGCATACATAAAACTATAGTGTGTGTGCAAAACCCTCTGGTTAAATGATAGAACTAAAAGCTTGTTCCAACCCTGGAGAGTTAGAAACCAGCACACTCCTTTTGTATAGTATTTGACACACAGTGGAAGCTTAAACCTACTCTACGTTGTACTGAGTACTGCTGTGAGAAAAAGCTGCAACTGCGCATCATTCAAGCAGAAGGTAGAGATTTCACAAGCGTTCCCAGTCACCGCCCCTGCAGGTGTTTACCTCAAGAACAGAGGCCAGGAAAGACATGAGCAACCAATCCTCACAAATGCAGAAGGCAGTAAAATCTCACACTCAAAAGCTACAAACTAAACCAGGCTCAGTGGCACACGCCTGTAATCCCAGCACTCGGGCAGGCTGAGCCAGCAGATCTTTGTGAGTTCAAGGCTAGCCTGGTCTACAAAGCAAGTCTAGGTCGGTCAAGGCTATACTGAGAAACCCTGTCTCGAAAAAACAAAAGAAAAGGAAAAAAAAGAAAAGCGGCGAAATGTGCACACAGGTGCCTTAAGTTTAGGTTAATTGTGTGCCCTCTGCACAGGACCTACAGAGACGCCTTCCCTCCCTCTCCTTCCCTCCCTCCTCTTCCCTCCCTACTCCTCTTTCCTCCCTCCCCTCCTCCCTTCCTTCTCCTTTTCCCTTCCTCTCTTCTCTCCCTTCTCCTTTCCCTCTCCTCTCTCTTCCCTCTCTCCCCTCTCTTCTTTCCTCCTTCTCCTCCCTCCCTCCCTTCTCTTCTCTTCCCTCTCTCTTCTCCCCAATCCTCTCTCTCTCCTTTCCTGTCACTTTTCTTGGCATTGAGACAGAATTTCGCTTACAGGCGTTGCACTCACAGCCGGCTCCAAAACGCTTCTCTTATATTAATTGAGGTGAAATTCCTAATAACCCTTGGTACTAAAGACCCCGCTACAGATACTAAATAACCCTCAAATAGGCCAGCACCAGGACGGGACGGGACCAGGCCCCACCCCTGGGCCGGGCCCCGCCCTCGTGCCGGGCCCCGCCCAGAACGCTCCCTGGCCGACCCCGGTGCGGTCTCAGCCGCCTGCTTGGTCCGCAGGACGCTTGTGCATTTGTCAAGGCGTCTTCTCTACGCCCGCATCTGAATGAGCGGCATAGAGAAGCCTGAGTTTTCGGAGAGCCTCAGAACAGCCTCTGTCCGTGTTCTTTATAGCTGGTTTTCATTTCCAGGTCTCGGGAACACGGTCTGTTTCCCTGACGCGGCTTAAGAGGCATGTTTTAAGTCAGGCGCTCTCTAGACAGTCCTGATCCTGGATCAGGGTCCTTCCGCAGAGCTTTAAGCGGGCCAAAGGGAACGCCGGGTCCTTCTCTAGGGCGGTCGCACAGGCAGCGGTTCTGTGGAGCCGGGCTTAGCCAACATGTACTACAAGTTTAGCGGTTTCACGCAGAAATTGGCTGGAGCTTGGGCTTCGGAAGCCTACAGTCCGCAGGTACGGATTGTGCCGCGCCGCCGTGGGCGGGAGAACGGCGGCCCGAGGCAAGCAGTCGCGGGGTCCTAGCCGGGAGAGGTTTGCTCGTGTCTCCTGGTATCCTACCACCCAGGCTTACAGCAGTCGCCGAGGCTTCTCTGTGCGCAGGGCACCCTAAAGCAAGGTTTGCATGTCGCAGAAATTCGGTCTGATACCCTTCGGGGGTCAAGGTGACCCCTGAGGTGGCTGCTTAAGATGGATTTCCCGTGGAGTCGGTGTTGCGCCGAAAGTGGCTTACCTGAATTGCGCTTCAGCCCTCCCTCGTTGAGGTGGTCTTTGTGACTTTCCCTTGTCACCCCTGTCAGCCCAGAAAGCAGCTTCACCCACCCCCCGAGTGGAGGAGTGGGGAAGGCGAGATTGAGACGCTTGCTCATAAGGCCTGGATGACTTCCGATACTTGGGAAAGTATGGGACGTGACACCCAAGGAAGTTTACACTTTCGTTAATTATAAAATAGCCAGACAGAGCCTATTGGGCGATCTGACATTAGAGACTACCAGTGGCGTTTCCGTCTCCAGCCACTGTTTGAAAATGTGGTATTTTAGAGTTCCATTCATACTACGTTAGTACTGAATTTAGCAGCCTTAATTTTGTGACCTTGACTGTTACTTTTTGTTGTGAGCCCTTTCTGATTCAGGGCGGCATTAATTGGGGTAAATGCGGTATATGTCAAACGAGCAGCTTTTTCTGGCAGATGGTTGGTGCTGGATAAATCCTATATATTCTCCAGAAGCTGAAGCTGAATCATTCCTCAGAGTAGTGTGAGAGGCTTGGTGGAACACGAAGCTGGAAAACCCTGACTAGAATAGTAAGTGACCCTTATGGGCCGTAAAAGATACTCTGTTTCTGTCTCTTTTCTACCCCTCTGGGACACTATATCTTGCCTAACAAGTATGATTTCAATCCAAGATTAGATGTGCATTCAGGATAAAGTAGGTCAAGAAGGGCAGAGTTTGCTCTTATGGGAGGACGAGGAGGAAAAGTCTTATGAGTTTTTACATGTTCAGCTTTTGAGGATATGTCACATCTGGTAGCAACTGAGTTTATGAATATGATGTTTAATAGACCTGGCTGTTTTCAGCCTGTGATTTGTAGTAGGCCCTTGGTGATGGAGAGATCGTTCAGAAAGTTATGTAAACAAAAAAAAAAGAGAGAGAGAGAGAGAGACTTACAGAAATGTGAAGGGAAATGAGGACAATTCACTCAACCATCCAGGAGTAGAAGGGGAACTGGTGTGGTGTCACGAAAACTCAGTGTAATGAGTTGTAAGGAAAGAACTGCCAGTATGTTGATTGATTTCTTGTACAGAAAATGTGGGGAAATAGTTATTTCTATTGTACCTTCTATAGTGTATTTTCAGTTTGTAGAGATAGTGTATTATGGATAGGTAAGTTTTAGCATGCATATACCCTGTAACCCACTCCTTTATTAATATGCAGATCATTACTTACACCACCTTTAGGAAGGTCTCACGTGCTCTTTATTAAAAAAATCCTTGTCTGCCTTCCTACTTTGACATTTATTAGTATAAACAGTTTTGCCTATTTTTGAACCCCCTGTAAACCCCATATTCTCCTGTGTAAGGCTTACTTTATGTACTTTTGAGGTTCTTTCTTGTTCCATGTCACAGGGTATGTCACAGGGTTTTTGTGATAATTGTAGGTGTGCTTTTTGAAATGAGGTTATTTTATTTTTTATGTTTATGAATGTTTTGTCTGAATGTAAGTGTGCACATGTGCATGCCTAGGGCCTGCAGAGGACAGAAGAGTTTCCAAATCCCCTGGAACTAGAGTTACAGACAGCTGTGAGCCACTGTGTGGGTGCTGGGAATTAAACCTGGGTTCTCTCCACAGAGCAGCCAGTGCTCTCAGCTGCTGCACCACTGCTCAAGCATAACCTAAGTGTGTTGCTTAGAAGAAGAAAGTAAAAATTTGACTAAGTGTCATTGAGATAAAATTGACATGCAGAGCAGGGATTATATAAAGACACCCTTAATATAGACAGGGCTTTCAGATTTTTTTTGGCTTCCCTTGAATTAGATTTCACCCTAGTGTTAGAATTTCTAAGTTGCTTAAAGCTTTTATTCTTATGGTTGTGGAGATTGAGCTGAAGAGTTTGTGTATGCTAGACAAGTGCTTTAGCACGGGGCTATGCTTCAGCTCATCTAAAGATTCCCAGGCTATGTTGAAAGAAGCAGTTTTGCATGGGCACTATATGAATTGTAGATTCAGAGTGACTGTGGCAGCTCCTGCAGGGGCTTGTGCCCACAGACAGCACCAGAGAAAACAGCAATGTTAAGCTGACGCGCTCTTCTCTTCAACAGAAGGGGTTTACACCCATTTCCACCTGGAAAGCTGGGACTGGATGTATTTAGTAACCTGGTGATCTTTTGAAGGCCCAGGCTTCACCCCTAGATTCCCAGGATATTGTATTTATCCCAGACTCTGAGCACTGTTTCTCAGTCAGTAGAACTCAGTCTTATGGGAAAGGTCATACTTTGCTAAACACATGTACTTTGGAAAGGAGTTTCAATGTATTCATGCCTTAAGCTTGGTTATGATAATTGTCAAGAGAAAACTTTACTGAAGTTGTACTGTGTTTAAATATGTCAAAAATAAAGTGTTCAGTTCACACTTCAGAAGTCTGAACCAACACCAGAACTGGATTCCCTTCTTGCTTCATGAGGATCGCTCCTCTGCCTGCTGTAGCATATTTGTAGGGACACCCACACCCCCTACACACACAAACTCTCTCCCCGACTCTGTGCTCTGATTCTTATAATTAGTATTTTGTTTTCTTGGACGCGGTGCACTGTAAAATGAAAATATTTGTAACATTCAGCATTACATAAAGTGAATAAGTAGCATGCATTAAATAACCAGATATGGGAATGCTACTTCTGTAACAAAAGCAGAGAGAGTTGTAATTGTTCAGAGAATACTTTATAGTGGCTGATTAAAAGCATTCGTATTTTGTGATGTGTGCCACAAATAAATTGAGGCACATGAAAAGGTACTTGACTTTATTAGTCAATAGGGAAAAGCAAAAGAAGACTGCAATGGAATACCACTTCATGCCTATAACCAGAAAGACAGGCTTTAGCTTGTAGAAATGAAGATACAGAGAAATCAGAAGCCTGCTACATTGTTGGAGTGAATTTAAAAATGGTGCAGGCACTTCAGAATGCAATTTGGTAGTGTCTTAGGGTGTTTCTTGCTGTGAGAAAGATCATGACCAAAAGCAACTTGGAGAGGAAAGGGTTTGTCTTCCAACTCTCCAGTTACACTCAATTGCTGAGTGAATCAGAGTAGGAACTTAAGCAGGAACACTACTCTTGCCTTGCTCAGCCTGCTTTCTTATGGCACCGAGAACCACCAACCCAGGAGAGGCCCTCCCCACAGGCCAGTGTGTGTATGTGTGGGGGGTGTCATTTTCTTAATTGAGAATCCCACTGATGACTCTAGCTTGTGTCCAGTTGGCATAAAAGTAGCTAGCACAGGTAGTTTCTTAGAAAGGGAATATACTTTACTATTTGTCCTGGCAATTCTAGTCTTGATATTAGAATGTTAGTCCAGGTATGGGGAAATGAGGGAGAAGAGAGATGGACGAGGGTCATTGGGTCAGTAACTTTGGCTGTGGAGGAGAATCATGAGGGGCCTATGGTAAAATAACCAAATTGTGTAAGAAATGAATAGAAGATTGACCCAGAAAGTTGTGGAAATGTGCCATCTGACTGATGAGTGGCTTGCTGGGGATCAGGAGTGAGTATCCAAGCTGACGTAGAAATGCGAGGGTGGCAGAGCTCTCCATGGAGACCGGGAGCTCCTGATAGGATTGATAGTGTGTTGTAGGCATTGAGTCACTGAAGATTTAATCTGGTTTCCAGTCATAAACCAGAGGTTTGGCAGGTTTCTAACATTTAAGTACTATTTTATGTGTTCAGTGGTTTACCTGCATCCATATATGTGCACTGCCTGCATCTCTAGTGTCCACAGAAGTCAGAAGAAGGGATTGGATCCCCTGGATCTAGAGCTAAGGATGGTTCTGTGAGCCACCATATGAGTCCTCAGCAAGAGCAACAAGTGCTCCAGCCTTCTCTCGAGCCTCTGCTAGAAACATTTTTTAAAAATGAGATAATTTTCTGTCTCCACCCTCTTCCTTAGACCTAAAAGGTGGAAGAAAAGGCTGAGCCAAGCAGCTTTAGGAAGAAAATCAGGTTTGCTTTTGTCTTTAAACATTTCAGCTAGAGATGGCTGTTCTATTAATTACCACTACTGCTTTTTCAGGGAACCTAAGTTTGGTTGCCAATAGTCTAGTCCATTGGCTTACAACCACCTGTAACTCCAACCTCAGGGGATATGATGCTCTTCTCTGGGCTCCTCAGACACCTGCATTCACATGTACACAGATGTTCCACCCCTCCCTCCATACACACAGAAAATACACATACTTTTAAAATAAATCCTTTTTTTTTAAATGGAGCCAGACAAGACAGTACACCAGCACTGCCAATCCCACTACTGCTCACAATGTACTTAACCGTACTGTTTCTTTAGTAGTTGAGCCCAGTTCCTGGCACAGTTGAATAATCCCAGCATGGGAGGTAGAAGCAGGAGAATCAGGAGTTCAAGTTTATCCATGGCTACAGATTAAGTTCTAGACCAGCCTGAGCTTCATGAGACCCTATCTTTTTTTTTTTTTTTTTTAAATTTTACTTATTATTTATACAGCATCCTGCCTGCATGTGTGCCTGCAGGCCAGGAGAGGGCACCAGTTCTCATTATAGATGGCTGTGAGCCACCATGTGGTTGCTGGGAATTGAACTCAGGACCTTGGGAAGAACAGCCAGTGCTCTTAACCTCTGAGCCATCTCTTCAGCCCCCATGAGACCCTATCTTAAAAAAGCAAAACATAGCCTGGCAGAGGTGGCAAACGCCTGTAATCCCAGCAGAACAGGTAGATCTTTGAGCCAGCCTGGTCTACAGAGCGCCCTCCAGGACAGCCAGGGCTACACAGAGAAACTCTGTCTTGAAAACAACGAAGAAACAAAACAAATAAGCAAAACATAGAATTTGGAACATTTATAAGCTGCAGTGTCTTGGTAGAGATATTGTTTAGCATTCTTGTGTTCTTATCTTCAATCTCCATGACACATTTCTTCCCTGTTTTTTAGCAATTAAACAGGAAGTGTCCAAACTGTTATAGAGGTAGGGAGTAATTACAGAATCAGTGTTAAAAAGTAAAGCCTGGCTGGGCCCAGTAGCACACACCTTTGATCTCAGCACTCAGGGAGGCAGAGGCAGCAGATCTCTGAGTTTGAGGCCAGCCTGATCTACAAATCAGAGTCCAGGACAGCCAGGGCTATACAGAGGAACTCTGTCTTGAGAAAACAAAAACAAACAGAGTAAAGCCTGAAGATATAGCTCAGTGGTAGAGCACTGATCAAGTAATCCTTATGCATGGTTGATGGGGACAACATTAGTGATATATATATATATATATATATATATATATATATATATATATATGTCTTAAATATCTATATCTAGATTAGGTCTTGTCGGTTACAAATTTCTTTGAAAAGTAAGGACTAATGACTATAGAGTCTAGGCTTGAAATTCCTTTCAAATTTAAAATTTTATTTTTTCAAGTTAGAATTTAAAGGGATAATTTTACTGGCTTATAACTCTTCAACTTTAGTGTACAGTATTATAGAGATCCCTTTGTATATGTTACTTTGCTGCTTTGTGCCTTCAGATAAAAAACAAAACAATTTTCTTTAGTTTTTGGTTTGTTGTTTTTGTGGTACTGGGGCTGCTCATGCTATGCAGGGACTTTGCTATGAGCTATATCCTCAACTTGCCCGTAGGTTCTTTGAAAACAGTAAGGCAGCCTTTAATCCCAGCACTCAGGCAGAGGCTGGTGGATCTCATTGAGTTCAAGGCTGACCTGGTCTACATAGGAGCTCCTGGTCAGTGGAGGCTACAAAGTAATAGTAAGCCCTGTATAGAAAGGCCAGTTTAAATTTTGAGCCACTCTTAAAAAAAACAAAAAGATTTATTTTTTTGTGTTTAACACTGTTAGCCCCATGTGTGGGTGTGTACACCTGTGTTAGGGTGCCTGTAGAGTTGAGAGATATAAGGTCCCCTGGAGGTAGAGTTTCAGGTGGTTGTGAGTGGCAACACATGGGTGCTGGGAACTGAACTTGTGTCCTCTGCAAAAGCAGTACATGCTCGTAATGACTGAGCCTTCTTTCCAGCCTCCATGGTTAATTTTAGAACAATTGGATAACTTTATAAAGAAAGCTGTCTCAGCTAGCAGCCCCTCCCACTCCTGCTCTAAACAGCCAGTAATGTACTTTTGTTGTTGGAGTTCTGTATTCTGCACTGCTGTTAACTGAATCATGTAATGTGTAGTCTTTTTGGCTTGAGATAGGCTCTCTGTGTAGTCTTGGCTGTCCAGGAACCTCTTCTGTAGACTAGGCTGTCCTTGAACTCAGAGATCTGCCTGCCTCAGTCTTCTCAGTGCTGGAATTAAAGGTCTGTGCCACCATGACCTGGCTGATGTGTCTAGTCTTTTGTACCAGGGTTCTGTGCATGTGGCCAATCTAGTTCTCAGGAGCCATCCACTTTAGGTATTAGAGTCTCTCCCTGGGCCCTGGGTTTCTCAGTTAGGCTAGCTGAATCCCAGGGATGTCCTGCTTCCACTCTGCCTCCCAGTGTTGAGATTACAAGCTGATGCCTCCACACTAGCCTCATACTTGGTGCTTGGGAGTGAGCTCAGGCCTCTTTACAAGCATGGGTGGGCACGGTACTGACTTAGCTATCTCTGTGTTAGCATATCAGTTCAGACAGCTGAGGAGAGGGGACATCAAGGACCTTGTAGACACAGTACTTCTTGAAGCTCACATTGGCCTTTTCTTATCTTTCCATCTCACTGGTAGAGTTCTTGACAGTTTGCTTTGGGAAAGCAGATAAGGGTGTTTTGTCAGAGGGTTGAGAAGCACCAAAAGCCCCATAATGCAAGTGACAGAGATCTTGTTTCTAGTGAGTGCTGCCTCTGCAACTAGCTCAGCTGCCCAGACATACTCATGGCTTGCTGTTCCCTTCTGCTTTCCTGCAGGGGCTAAAGCCAGTTTCTGCAGAAACACCGCCCATCATATTTGCCACACCAACCAAACTGACCTCCAATGTGACAGCATATGATTATGCTGGGAAGAACAAAGTTCCAGAGCTGCAGAAATTCTTCCAGGTGAGTGAAGACAGGAGCAGAGAACTGAGCCGCATGAGTGTGTGTACTGGGGCGGGAGCTTCTGAAACTGAGTTCACTTTAATGCTGTTTTCTCCCAACCTCCTTTTCTTCACCTAGAACTCTTGACTTTAGTTTGATCCATTGCCTAATAGAACCTTTTCACAGGTAGATGGGAATAACAGGGAGGGTGGTTCATGACTGCATTGCCATGTCACATGCACACTTTTTCAGATCGCTCATGCAGTGTGGGTCTTCATAATCACTGAGAGAACACAGAAGCACATGTAATGACATTGAATCTGCCAGTGGGCCTATTAATGTTTGTCACACATGCGGTGACTTAAAAAAATGTGTGTGTGCGCACGTGTGCGTGCATGCATGCATGCATGCGTGTGTGTTACAGTGTTTGTGGGAACTGCCCTCTTGCCAGCCCTATGCAGTGACTTTTGGCAGCCGGTTTCTTCTCTGTTTGTCTTGCTTGGTAGTACAATTCACTGCACTGTTAATGGAAGTTGGGGAACCCTCTTAGGTATGTCATCAACAGAGAAAAGCCAGAATTGACACTTCATATGATGAATCTACTTAGAGACAGTCAAGAGCCCAGTGACCTGACTCACTCAGCTCTTGCTCTGCTGGTTGACAGAGCCATTAGAGCTGTCACTACAGGGTTGCCTCTCCACGTGATGATGTCCAGGGTCAGGCCTGTCCTGGCTATAGAGCACTTTCATGTTGCTCAATGTAAGTCTTTTAAATCTGATGTAAGATTTAAGAGGCTATTGGAGTCTGAATATGAATTAAATGTCACAGTATGAATTAACTGCCCTAGAAATTTATGCGTGAGAGCTTTAGCCAGCTGACGGAAGGAAGCAGCTGGTTAGGAATGGACTGGCATTTATAACTGGCTCATGTGACTGTGCTCCCCAGGATCAGGAGCCAGTGTAAACGCAGGTGAGCTCAGGCAGTCCTTGTGCCTGTGCTTTGTTCAGGGGCTCATAGTCTTGACTTTTAAAAAGTTTCTCAGGGCTCTGCTCTTGGCAGAGTCATAATATGTGAAGGCCTTAGGAAACATGGACTTGGCTCATGTTGTGGCCTCAGACTCAGTTGTAGAGAATGACTCCAGACTAAGTCTTGAACTCCTGTCTTTAAGAAGTGTTCTGGTGTTTGCCATTCTGTGCATCACGGGCTCCCACTATACTGTGTTTATGGGGAGTTTTCATGAGAGACACATTTTCTTCTCCAGTCCCTTGTCAAATCTTTCCTTGCTAGCCAGCTCATTGTCAATTCTTGCTTTCCAGAAGGCTGATGGTGTGCCCATCCACCTGAAACGAGGCCTTCCCGACCAAATGCTGTACCGGACCACCATGGCCCTGACGCTAGGAGGGACCATCTACTGCCTGATCGCCCTCTACATGGCTTCACAGCCCAAGAACAAATGATCCGGCCAGAGGGGGCTGGCGTGCTGTGCCACAGATCCTGTGAATTTTTATCTCGCATTATTTGTTTTGTTTTTCCACTTGGATAGTCTACTTAATATTTTTTTAAACAAAGGAAAAGATAAGAATACAGCATTTTGGTTCGTAAGATGCAGATGGCCTGTCAGATGTCAGAGTGCATTTGACAGTTAAAGCTATTGTTGAAGGAAATGACCCTGAGCCATATTTGTGCTCCTGCTATCCCTGGAGCTTCTGGATGAAAGTTGCTCAGGAGCTCATTGATGGCTGTCAGTGCTCAGGGTCTCCGAGACTCGGACTGTGTCTAAGCAGGAACCACAGGAACCTTTCTGGGTGTAGTGGCTGAGGGAGGAAGACGAAAGCCAGAGGTCAAGCGTGTGGAATGAGGGATTTGAGTTAGCCACCTGGGGACTTTTCCACCATGCAGTAAAATGTTAATAGGAATTCGCACTCTGCCTCTATTTATTGAGCATCATTTGTCTTGCCCACATCTTTAGTAGAATGTCATGTGTTTTTTCTGTCATGGGAAAGAGCACCTGTCAGTGCCGCACCTTACACAGACATCCCAGAAAGTCTCCTTGAACCATGCTGTGGCTTCAAGTTAGGGTTTATTTAACTGAAGGGTAAATACATGAATAAAAATTTTTAGTTTTAAATGTATTTATTTATTTGTTTATTTGTTTGTTTATTGATTTATCATTTTGAGGCAGTGTCTTACTCTGTTTCATTGGCTGACCTGGAACTCACTGTGTAGACCAGACTGGCCTCAAACTCACAGAGATCCGCCTGTCCCCAGCACTGGAATTAAAAGCATGTGCCACCACGCCCAGTCCCGTGATTGTTCTGAAAGACTGTTTAATTTCAAGTTCAGCACAGTGGCACATACCTTTAATCCCAGCACTCCCCAGACAGAGGAGGGCAGACAGATCTCTGTGAATTCGAGGATAATATGTGTGTTTTGCTTATATGTATATCTGTGTACTATATGTGTGCATGGTGCTCATGGAGATAAAAGAGTGTTAGATCCCTTGGAATTAGTGTTCCAGTGGGTTGTGAGCTTCTAGGAATTGAGCACTGATCCAGGGTGGTATAATCCTGTAATGAGCACTCTGGGAGGCTGAGGCAGGCAGAGCTCTAAGTTCAAGAGCAACCCTGGTCTACAAACTGAGTCCAGGACAACCAAGGCTATACAGAGAAACCCTGTCTCAAATAAAAATCAAAAAAACAAAACAAGTGTTCTTAACCACTGAGCCATCTCTCCGGCCCCCCAGCTGTTCTGAAGGACCTGGTGCCCAAGGAGGTCAGAAAAAAGACGATATCCTGGAACTGGAATTTCATGTAGATAATTGTGAGCCACCATGTGGGCAGTGGGAACTAAACCTGGTGTGGTGATTTGAATAAGATTAACCCCCATAGGCTCATGTATTTGAATGCTTAGTCACTAGGAAGTGACACTAGAAAGGATCTTTACAAGACGGTTTCTCAGAGTCAAGTAAAGAATTCTAGTGACATAGTATTGATTTCCATGTAGTTTCTAAGACTCCTGTATGCTCCTTAGTGAAATGGACCTGTGAAATGCATGGTTCACTTAAGTCCATCCTGAGTGGTAGACTTCACTTCTTTGTCAGGCCGACAGCAGGCATAATGTATATACGCTGGTGGTTTGTATCTTGCCAGAGCAAACAGTGCCTTGAGAATAATTGTGGGATTAGCTTACACCTGTTATCTCAGACTCTCGAGGCTGGGACAGGATCAGAAGTTTGAGACCAACCTGAGCTATGTTTGGGGCCTGCCTCAAAGACCTGCAACAGCAGGTTTTTAACCAGCTTCCAGGGCTCGGCGATTAAGAATTTGTTCTTCTGGAGGACCTGGGTTCAGTTCCCACATACAGCTTATCACCATCTGCAGGCCCAGTTCCTAGGGATCTGATGCCCTTTTCTGGCTCCCTGCAGGCACCAGGTATACCCATACACAGAAAACAGGCTTTTTAAAAGTTTAGATTTACTTATGTGTATGAGTACTTGGCCTGCATGTGTGTGTATGTGTATATGTACCTGGTACCCGAGGCGGTCAGAAAGAAGACGAGATCTGGAACTGGCATTTTGTATGGATGGTTGTGAGCTACCGTTTGGGTATTGGGAGCCAAACCTGGTGCGGTGGTTTGAATATGAATGGCCCCCATAGGCTCATGTAGTTGAATGCTTAGTCACCAGAGAGCAGCACTACTTGAAAGGATTAGAAAGGTTAGAAGTGGCGGAAGTGTGTCACAGAGAGGTGGGCTTTGAGTATCAAAAGCCCAAGCCAGCGCTAGTGTCACCCTCTCTTAACCTGTGGACCAGGATGTAGCTAAGGAGGGTACCAACAACAGATGAAAACCAAAACCTAGATTCCAGAGCATGGGCAAATGAATGGCTACACTACCAAAGAAAATGTCTCTGCTTGGGAGTGTAGCTTATTTGGTTTCTCAGAGTTTTTTTCTGTCTTAATTAAGGCTTTTATTGTGATAAAACAGCATGACCAAAACAACTTGGGGGAAAAAAGGGTTTTTTGTTTTGTTTGTTTGTTTGTTTTTACAGCTTGGGGTCCATCGTCTGGGGAAGTCAGGACAGGAATTGAAAGCAGGAATTTGGAGGCAGGTACAGAGAGCTAGGAGGAGTACTGCTTACGGCCCCGCTTGGGTCTTGTTCAGCTTGCCTTCCTCTAGAACACAGGGTGAGCCACGCCCTTCCATGCCAGTCTCCAATCAAGAAAATGCTCACAGGCAAATTGCACGGAGGCATTTTCTCAATTGAGAGTCCCTCTTCTTAGATGACTCTAGCTTGTGTCAAGTTCACATAAATCCAGCCAGGACAGTTGACCTCTGTGAACTTGACACACCAATGCAACACTATTAAACAATAGCCTTTTGTTGTTGTTCCTACTCAAGATCTCATATTAGTATAACAATATAATGCATTTCAGTTTCTGACAGTCTTTAAAACTTTAGTCTCTTGTAGGCAGATCTCTGAGTTCAAGGCCAGCCTGTTCTTCAGAGGAGTGAGTTCCAGGACAGCCAGGGCTACAGAGAAACCTTGTCTTGAAAAAACGAAATGACACATTTATTCTCTTTAAAATATCTAGTTTCTCTAAAATTTCAAAAGTTTCTACTGTGGGTTGCTTTGGCACAATGAACATCCAAATAAAGGCAAAACCAAAGTACAACAGTGTGGATAATTCTGTCCAATGTCTGGAATCTGTTCAGAATCCTTTGGGCTCCAAAGGGCTTAGACACTTGCATTTCTCCGGCTCTGCTAGCCAAAGCACACAGAGCTATTTTCCAAGGCTCACACTGGCTCTCTTCCATACCTGCTGTAGCAGTTGGTGGTCCCACAGCACTGCCACCCCCAAACACTGCCCTCCACTGCAACAGGGCTGCAGTATCGCCGATCGTTTCTTCTGGGTTCTCTTGAGGCACTAACCCTGCCAGTGTATTGTCAAGCCTCAGCCTCTCTCCATGAACCCTTCCATCCTGCCATTTCCACTGCTACAGAGGCTGTACCTCAGCAGCAATGTCTAGCCTCTTGTAGCCAAGCCTCAGTTGCTCTCCACAACTCCTTCATGCCTTCAAAACCAGTACCACCCAGAAACTTACAGATTGTCAAGTTTGGCTGGCAGCACAGGGTACAGCCTGGGCAGCTGTTGGAATATAGCTTATATGTATTGACCCTGAGGAAACTTCCTAGATTTTGCCTCAATGATGCTACTCTCTTAATCACAGCAGGTTCTTCAGCCCCAGCTGACCAATTGTCCCAGCAAAGCAAAATTTTCATTAAGGTGGTTTTTAATTCAAAGTAGCACGCGATTGGCCCTGATAGAAAATTCACAAGCCAACTCTCTACTGTCCACATTACCCTCAACATTAACTTGTAAACTCCCACAGCTTTTCCAGCCCAGGGTTCCAAAATTCTTCCTCGGTCCTCCCTAAGACAATACGATTAAGTCTGTTAGAGCAGACCTGGAGAGGTGGCTCAGAGGTTAAAAGCAGTGGCTGTTCTTCCACAGGACCTGAGTTCAATTCCCAGCAACCACATGGTGGCTCACAACCATCTAAGATGAGAGCTGGTGCCCTCTTCTGGCCAGCAGGTGTACATGCAGACAGGATACTGTGTACATAATAAACAAATCTTTGAAAGAAGTCTTGTTACAGCAATGCCCCACTCCTGGTGCCAATGCCAGGGTTTCTACTGTGATAAGGCAGCATGGTCAAAAGTACCTCAAGGAGGAAAGAGTTTATTTTATCTTAAAGTTTACAGTCCATTTTCCAGGGAAGTCAGGACAGGAACCTGGACACAGAAGCTGATGCAGAGGCCATAAAGGAATCCTGCTTATGAGTTACCTTCTCATGGCTTGCTCAGCCTGCTTTCTTATCACGCCCAAGACCATCTGCCCAGGGATGGCACTACCCACAGGTTGCCAGTCCCTCTCACGTCTGTATTAACATCTAGAAAACACCAGAGGCTTGCCCACAGACAAACTTTTTGGAGTTATTCTCTCAACTAAGAACCCCTCTTCCCAAGTGTCTCAAACTTGTGTCAAGTTGACATAAAACTAGCCAGGATACCTGGTAATATACTTTCCTAGTGAGGTGGTAATTATCTCCATAGCTGGGAGGTGGTGGCACCCTCCTTTATCCTAGCGCTTTCCCAGAGAGGCAAATTTCTGAGTTGAGGCCACCCTGGTCTACAGAGTTCCAAGACAACCAGAGCTACCCAGAGAAACCCTATCTTAAAAAAAAAAAGTCCTCATGGACCCATACGGAGTTGGCACTATTAAGAGGTGTGGTCTTGTTGGAGGAAATGTGTCCCTGGGGGGTGGGGTTTTGAGGTCTCAGATTCTCAAATTAAGCCAGCGTGGCCTTTCTCTTCCTGCTGCCTGCAGATACAGATGTAGAACTCTCAGTTCCATCTCCAGCACCAGGTCTGTCTGCATGAGGCCATACTCCCCACCATGACAATAAGTCTCTGAAACTGCAAGCCAACCCCAATTAAATGTTTTCCTTTATAAGAGCTGCCATGGTCACAGTGTCTCTTCACAGCGATAAAACCCTGACTAAGACACTTAAAGTGCACAAAGCCCTAGGTTCAACCCCCAGTGTGGAATATGAGTGTTAAAAAAAAAAAAAAATCTCTCAGGAACCTTAACTGCTTATAAGTCCACGGGAGGGGCAGCACCTCACCAGCCCCACCTCACTTCCATGATGAAAACTAAGTGTGCCCAACCAATTGTGTGCAGTTCTCGTGAGGGTGGAGGGATTACAGTTGCTGGGCGTTCAAGAGGACACCCCCATCTCACAGCACTCTGCCTTTCCTCTGGATCTTACATTCTGTCTACACCCTCTTGGGTATTCTTTGAGACCCTGAGGGTATGTTATAGATGTCCTGTTTAGAACAGAGAATTCTTACTCTTTTCCACTTAGTAGTTTGCCCAGTTACGTGTTTCCAGGAAGCACTGAAAAATGGAGCTTCTCTGACCAAAGCTGACACAGAACTGTGGTGCTCCCTCCCGCTCGAGACTGTTGGCCACCAGTCCCTGAGAACAAAGGTAGCAGAATGGAGGAATAGGGGTGGAGATGGGATGCCCCATGAGTATGATGGAATAACTTTTTGGGACCAGCTTCAGCA